AAAATGTCTAGACTTACACATGAGTATATACAGTATGTATTTTTCTAACTGGATTCTGGCACCTTCTCCCCCCCGCCCCAGCTATAAGGCAATCTTTTAAAAAAGAAAGGAATAGCTAAATGAAAACCAAAAGCATGTATTGTATTAGATGTTCTTAGGATGAGTGGAGGAGAAGGAAGAGTGGAACAGAAAAAGGTTTGTTGGGGAATCTCAGGCAAAAAGGCCGGCTGGAGGTTCCTCCAGTGCTAAAATCTTGTGATCTTTTTCCCTGAGCCGTGTGATAAAGAAGAGAACAGCTGACACTTTCTGAACCGTGAGCAATTTCCTAAAAGCCAAGCGGAGGAGAAGGGATAAAACTCACCTCCCCGCCCCCACTCTGCATTTGTTTCTTGTTTTCTTCATTTTTCTATTTTTGCCAGCCTCCTTTCCTTATTGTTAACGTAGTCTATTTTGGGATCGGCGTGAGCCTCTTTAGCAGGATCAAAGTAAGTTGAAAACATAAAATAAAAAATACAGGGAAATTTGGAAGAGAAAGCCTAGGGAATGAGGAATTCAAAGACACAGCTGTGTCAGCCTGGAAAATCAATAAATAACCTTTGAGAAATGAAAGAAAGAAGCTGGTAGCATGAGCATTTGTAGACTTGAGCCTGCTTCTTCAGATGCATTTGGAATTTTGCAAAATTGCAATTTGGAATTTGGAAATGCATTCGAGGAAGCTGACTTAAGTCTATGAAAGCTCATGCTACTGCCAGCTTCTTTCAGTTAGGGCCAAATTACATTGCAGAGATAATCCAGTTTGAGAATGCTTTAACTGCTCTGGCTCAGTGCTAGGGAATTCTGGGAACTGTAGTTTGTTATGGCACCAGAGCAATCTGACAGAGAAGGCTAAAAGTCTCACAAAACTACAGTTCCCAGAACCCCCAGCACTGAATAGTCTGAAACTGGATTATATCTCCAGTGTGTTTTGGCCCTTAGTCTCAAAGAAGCTATTGAGTTCATGAAGTGCAAATTACTTTTGCATTTGGAACACAGTTTGCAGCAATTGGAATATGCCAAGGACTAAGGAGGAAAGTGGGAGAAGGAGAGAGAAACCGGGACATTTTAAAAGCAGTGAAAAAGTGGGATGGCAGAAGATTAATTGGGGTCCATCCCTGCCAAATCAAGACAGTTGGAGGGCATGCTGGGGACTTGCTTTTCTTTTTAATGCACAAAGCAAAGCCATGTCTCTGATTGTGAGGGAGAAAATAAATATAAGTTCATAAACTGAGCTGGAAATGTACTATAATTCTACAACAATCTTGGAAAATCACTCAGTGAAATGGCTAATAAAGCAAACGACTTACACTGCTCTGTATTATCCCTTCATTTTCAGTTTGCTTACGATTGAAAGGATTGTTTAAAGAGCTACTTTTCTCGCTGGGGACCACTTTAGGCGAGACCAGACTTATAAATTGGATTAATGTTCCTAACTCCTGTATAATAATTTTTTTTCCTTGCTGTTTTTGCTAATTGCCAGAGATATTTGTCTTTCAACGCAGCCAGCCATGGCTTTCCTAATCTGGGAGACCTGGTTGTGATGTTGCCTGACAACTGGACTGTGATGTCACCAATAGAGGATTACTAATCTGTCAGAAGATCTAGACCTTGGTAATAGGTGTATGAAGTTGAAGCGTTTATTGACATTCCCTGATCTTTAAACAAAGCTAAACTGATGAGAAAAACTCTGAAATTTCCCTGGGAAGAAGTTATTTTTCAGAAGAAGCTGTTGAACTTTGTTCCTTTTGTCTTTACTTTCCCCCGCAATTTAAAAAACACAAAAAGTTGATAAGTAGATCAGGATTGTGTTCTTCGTGAGCTATGAATGGCAGCGGGTTACGCTGAATATTCATTGAATATTCTTCAAATATTTGCTACCAAAATAGTCAATATTAATAATTTTTTTTCTCTCTCTGGTATTTGGAACTCTCTGGCATTTAAAATAGGCCTGAAATCAATATTGTATGTTTGATCGTTGGCATGTAACGATGTTTTGCATCACTTGGCAGTCAGCGCATCAAAATGTTTTGACGATATTCGCCATTGAGCGG